ACTCACGGCTGAGCGTATGAATCTTGCTCATATCATCTCTCTTCTGGACTTTCAAGGCATCAACAATTTCTTGGAATGCAATGCGAAATATAGTGAAGATCTTGTACGTATCTTCTACACTTGCATTCACGAAAAATTCTGGGGCTCTCAATTTCACTCTCAGATCGGTTCCACAAAGGTTAGTCTTTCACCTATTGTTTGGAGAAAGTATTTCAATTTGGAGCTTGATGAGGAGAACAAATCTCTTTATGAAGTAACTGATACACATACAATGGTTGGCTATGATTTTAAAACTGCTTTAAACTCCATGTTGAAAAGGCCATATCCGCCTCACGTTGTGGCTAGTGACGCTTTTCCAAGAACAGTCACTACCGACAAGTTGAAAATAGGAGATCATATTCTACAGTGGATAATGGCGCGCATTCTGCGGCCCAAGAAAGGAGGATTTTCTCGTGTGGAGCAAGCGGAAGTTCATTTAATGTATCTTTTGTGGAATAGAGTCAAGATTATCTGGCCCTACTATATTGCTAGTATAATGTATGCTTTAAGAGATTCCGGTAGGGGTACCGCTCTCGCATATGGCTCATTCATCCAAGAGGTCCTTACGAGTGCTGAGATTATATTTCTAGATTTTCCGTACACATCAATCCCGTCCGATCAAGAGTTCTGTCAGAAAACTCTTTCAATGATGGGATACTTCTGGTCACAAGATCAAATGCGGTAAAAACTTGTTGGCAAAGCAACTGCTCGTCGAAATGAAGTCGAATAAGATGAAAGTGAGGAAGACAGTGACGAAGATGCAGATGAAGAAGAAGAGGAAGACGAAGACGTAGCACAAGAGGAACAGGATACTCGCCAACACATGGAAACTGGTGAAGATTAGGCTCATCATACACCGTCAACAGAAGAGGAAAATAACCAAGGTTGGGGTGAGTGGCAGCACACCGGTTGGACGACACTGGGTAAATTTTATTGGCCTCCACAATGGAGTTATGAATCGCCTACATCTCCACCACAACCACAATCTTCCGAGATTATTGACATGTTGAGGGCTATGCAACTTGAGCAACACAATTTTATGGATGTTTAGGATGAGCGGTTCGCTCAAATCCAACACCAACTCGAGACACAAAATGAAAGGTTCAATGCTTTTTCAACGGATCTTAATACACGGTTCCCTGCTCTCGCTGCTTCAACTGACCTCTAAGAGCAGGCTATCTCCCACAACATCAATCATCTAAATAGTGTTTTTGAGCAGTTTACCGATTTGGTTGATCCTTACCGCAACCCACACTTCTATGGGAGGGGACGAGGATATTAAAGCATGCTTGCATTTTATCAATTTATATTGTTGTGCTTTGTTGCATTGTATTCCTTAGTTTCTAGTTGTGACAATGATTTTCACTTTAATTGTTTTATGTCTTTTTGAGCCTTTATTGTACCTTATTGTATTTATATAATGGTTTAATTATCCTTTCATATCTTGCTCATTGATAGTATTTTGTGTGAATATTCGTTAATGGTAGTTATTACCTGTTGAGAATCTTGTTGATTTGAACATCTATTTTTTAACCTATCTCTCTTTCTTTTTGATGTTGTCAAAGGGGGAGAAGAGTGTGCCAAGCTAGGACATCAGTTAGATACTTTGAAAAATTGTAGAATTGCAAAAGGAAGACTTTGTGAATTAGGCATTAAGCAAGGGGGAGGTTACTAATATTGCACATTGCACAAGTTGGTTTCGCACGTTTTGCCATCATCAAAAAGGGGGAGTATGTGAGGACAAATCCTCATATACCATAAGTACTTGAGTTTCGATGATGTCAAAACGTAATCATGGAAGAATCGGGTTTTCGGCTCTACCAGCACAAGGCAAAATGCATATCACATTTCTCATATCTCTCTTGTGTGCATATCATGTCTAGCAAACATGCCATATGGAGTCCAGTGTATTTGTAGATCATTGGTTATGTCTAGAAGTATAAAATTTACAAAAATAAGCATTTCTGCAAAATTACAGGTTTTGAGTTGACCAGAGGTCGACGCATGGAAAAGGTTGAATTCCCACGGGTCGGCGCACACTGACCTATGGTCGACGCATGCTGTTGAGATTTTGAATCTGTCTAAAACTGCAGGCTATGCGTCGACGCACAGTCCTGCTATGGTCGACCGCTCGTTGCTTTTTCTGCCTACGTTGAAGATTTTCACTTAGTTTGAAAAGTTGTTATGTCTGTTGATTTTTGAGTTACTATAAATAGAAGTTTGGTTCATTTCTTCAACAACAATTGAAAACATTAAGTCAATTGTATAAGAACAAGAAAAGTGAAATAGGTGCCCTAGTTCTCATCATCTTGTTCTTCAACATTTCACAACACATCAATTACACACAACAATTCTTGTTGTGCATTGTGGTTTGTTCAAGGTGATAACGTCCGAAGTCGTCGATTGGGAATCCTGTTCGGGTTGAGTTTGGGGCAGGTTTTTCTTGAATAAAGCCTTGAACGTTTTGTCCTCCAAGATTCTTCGAATTGGGGTTTTTTGGTACGAATCGTCTTTACAACATTCAACTGAGCGAAGGTGATTGAGGAACGGTGGGTTCGGTCAATCTAGTAGCGGCAATCGGTGAATTACGTAGGAGAGATTCGGGTTTGATTTGTGTGTGTTTGAGATCAGTCGGGCTGGGGTTTAAAGAACGCAAGGTTATTCAACAAAGGGGATGTAATCAGAGGTCTATTCACAACAATCGAAGGACTTGATTCAACTTGAATCAAGGAACAAGGAGAGAAAACATCATCAACAACTAGAGTCTGTGTTAGTATATTTTGCTTGTCTATCCTTGTATAAACGTTTCAACTCAACAGGTGATATCTATATTATATCACATATGAATGTTGTTCGACATAACAAACATTAGATGAAAGTATTGAATAGATCATTGTCCAATAATCTTTATTGTATTGAATAGCTCACAGGCTATTTTACTATTTTGGATGACTAATTAAACATTTAAAACATAATTTTGGTGAAATACTAATTAACATAACAAATTTCGTATGTATTTAAGTACTCAAAATTTTTAAATAAAAATTCAATAATAAAACAAACAAAATAGCAAAATATATATTTAAATACTTAACATATTAATTTTTTCTTAATTGATTACAACATAAAGCAAAAAAAAAAATATCATAAAACAGATATGTTAATGACTTTAAACATCTAAAAACTCAAGTGAAATCATCACCACCAATATCATCACCGTCATCTTTATTGGTGTCTTGAGTATCATCATCAAATTCTAGCTTGAATGAAACACCTTCTTAATCATTAATCAAAGTTGGATTGTTTGAAGTTCCACTTCCACCAAATTTAATATTTCGAACACCACTTTGCACAACATTAGTAACAACAACATCAACTTCCACAACATTGTTACCAATAACATCCTCTTACTCAACATTAGTTTGTATATTTTTCTCATTAGCATCTTCAGTTATCCATTCAACATCTTTACACAAGAGAATATACAAGAGAATGCACAAGAGAAACATTCAAGTGAAACATATAAGTTAAATACTTACACAACAAAGGATTGATTTACGGGAACGAACATGAACAAATCAAGAGACATAATAAACGCACGTCGTCTACGAAGGAATCAAAGGAGGAAGAAACTTTGTTGAAATAAGAGATTAGGAGAGAACCTTTCTGATTCCCGTACAAGAAAAAAAATGTATTTTTAAAATAAAATAAATTTTTTAGGAAATTTGGACTTTTTTGAGTTAAAAAAAATTTATAAACTCGTAAACACGTCATAGACTCGCGATATTATGCGAATCTACCTGGGTCTACTCGAATCTATCAAAAAATAATTTTGTGTGCGAGTCTACTTGTTTTCGCTTCTTAGACCCGTACGAGTTTATAAATCTACCTGCGAGTTTGACAACCATGATTGACGATGTATACTTGTACATGTTTCATACACAACAAGTTTGTGAAGTCATTGTCGGGTTGTCATCTTAAACTTTTATTTATTCATTTAATCTAATAAATTAATTCATTATAGAATTTATTTTGTTTGGTGATCATTGTTGAAACTACAGGTAGCATCAGAAACCTTGTATGCGCAGGTTGACTTCGCTTGAAAACATACTTGATCTTGAGTCAAAAAGAACATTCATAATTTTAACGAAAGCTATCTATTTGAAGAACACCATATTCTTGAGACATATCAAGTTGAAGAAGGAATAGAAAATCAAGACAACACTAACATTGCCAATGGCAAGGCAATAATGTATACAAGAGAATATGTTGTATTTGATCTCAATGCTATGGTCACTGAAATCATCAGACATGAGATCATTGTTGCTCAATTCGAGCATAAGCCCATGATATTTCAAATGTTGCAAACTGATGCGCAATTTTCCGATGATGTGACAAATAATCCACACTTACCTCTAAGACAGTTCTTAGAAGTGTAAAATAACTTCAAAATTTATGTGATTCCAGCTGATGTTTTCAAATTTGGATTTTCTCTCTTCTATGAGGGACCGTGCTAAAAGTTGACTCAACTCATTAGAGGCAAATTTCATTGATATGTGAAATAATGTAGCTGAATTTTGTTTAACTAAATACTTCTCTCTATATGAGAAACGAAATCACATCATTTGAATAAGGGGTAATTGATCACTTTTTGATGTTTGTGAAAACTTCAAAGACACGTTGAGACAATGTCTCCGCCATTACAGTGAAGAAAAGAAATACTTGAGAATAGAAGGAATCAAATTTTATGGATTTTCATTGTTGACACTAGTTCCTTAACAATGATATAAATATGAGGAGAAAAAAATATAAAATCCCATCCTAAAGAACAAATCCTTCTTATATAGTTTATAAAAGGTAATACATTTTCTAACTAACATGAAAACTCTATTAAGTATTTGAATAAGAACATGCATCCGAAACTGAAAGCTCCAACCAGAAAAATGTCAGACTTGAAAAGATTAGACATGAGCAGTGCCTTGAGTGAATTTGGGGTCCTCACATCTGTAACTGCCATCAGGTGCAATTCCAAAACCTTTTGGATCAGCAAAGACATTTTCCAGAAGCTGGCTGCGGTGTGGAACGGGACTCTCCTCTGCAAACTCGACAGCCTCCTCAATGACCTCATCAATCTTCTTCTCTATGTTTTTCAACTCCACTTCATTGGCTAATTTGTTCTCGATAATATATTTCTTCAATGCAGAGATGGGATCCCTACTAGCATAGTGTGCCTTCTCAGCTGCCAAAGCAAAAGCAGATGGGCTGTTACCAACTTGGAAGACAAAAATAGAAGAAATGCAGTCGACAAAAATCGACAAAAATAGAAGAAATAGATGGGCTGTTACATTTTTCAACAATAATAGGTTTAAAGAGCACATGTACAAGTTCAATCCTTTCGAGATGCAAGATTTTCATTTCAAATTTAGTTGGCATCCACTGTATAGAATTCTAATCGGCGACCCAAATCAGTTATCTTACTCTTGCCATCAAAATACAGTCGACATCAAAGAAAAATGCTCTTAAAATTAATTAAATTCCCAAAAGTCTAGGAAGTTAATGCACAGTAATGTGTATACTATATGACAATAAATGTACACAGATTATGCAAGGAGACTGAAGGTAACTACCAAAACTGTAAATGAGTATGTTCAAGATTAACAACACAGTCAAAGTAGACATTAAAAGGAAAGCATAATGTAAAGGCTCACCAGGGTCACGAAGCTCATCAGGATCAGCCAACGAATGCCCTCTGAATCTATAGGTCTCGCATTCTATCAGAGTTGGTCCCTCTCCTCGCCTAGCTCTCCCAATTGCTTCTTTTGCTACTTCTCGTACCTTCAAAACGTCCATCCCGTCAACATGAACCCCGGGCATTCCAAATGCTGGACCTTTCTTCCATATCTGAGGATCTGAAGTTGCCCTTAGATGTGACATTCCAATAGCCCACAAATTGTTCTCCACCACAAACACAATAGGCAATTTCCATAAAGCTGCCATGTTTAGGCATTCATAGAACTGTCCATTATTACACGTTCCATCTCCAAAAAATGCCAACGTCACATAATCAGCATCTGCCTGTTTCAATACCTCCCTTTTATACTTGCTGGAAAATGCTGCTCCAGTGGCCACAGGAATTCCTTCCCCAATAAAAGCAAACCCACCAATCACATTATGTTCTTTCGAGAACATGTGCATAGATCCACCTTGACCCCGGCAGCATCCAGTGGCCTTACCAAAGAGCTCACTCATCACAGCACGCGCCGGAACCCCCTTACTGAGTGCATGAACATGGTCTCGATAAGTGCTCACAACAGAGTCTTCTTTCTTAAGAAGCTTGATGAACCCAGTTGACACAGCTTCTTGGCCATTGTACAAATGAACAAAACCAAACATTTTTCCTCTGTAATACATCTGAGCACACATGTCTTCAAAAGCCCTGCCTAATATCATGTCTTCATAGATCACCAAACCTTCCTCCTTGGTAATTAGCTGCACACAAGAACAAATCAAAATAAAAAACAGCACACTCTCAAAATTTTCATCTGTAATCCGAAGCTAAATGGGCAAGTAGCAGCGTAACAAGATCTCTTCTTTTCTCGTCTCACATATCACACAAGACACGTGAAATACATACATCATCAAATTGTGAAGTTTATAAACAAATGAAATATAACATTAAGAACCTGTTTGGATTGGCTTATTCGAACTTATCCACTGACCTAAGTTTTATAAGCTTTTTTCCACTCAATTTCACAAGTTTTTCAAGATAGCTTAGTATGAAAACAACTTATGTCAAGATAGTTTATCATGAAAACAACTTATATCAAGATATTTTATTATGAAAACAACTTATAACATAAATAAAAAGACAAATCTAACATTATTTTACCTTTCGCTATAAAAATAACTTATAGAAGCATATACATAAGCTATTATCATATCATGACAAGAGCTTGTGCTATAACCTGCAAATAATCTATTTAGTGTATGTTTTGGTTTAGAGAGCCAAAAGCAATTCTAGAGGTGTAGAATTGATTTTAAAATGATTTTGAAGTATTTGATTCTTCTAAAGTAAAATTGATTCTGCCTCCATAATTGATTCTACATGAACCTAAAATTTGTAATTTTGAGTTTAAACTTAATTTTGACATTGAAATTTCCCATTCAACTCAATTTTGCATAAAGTTATTCAAACATAAATCACTTTACATTCCGTTCAATTTTAACCATAATCAAATTTTCTGAACCAATTCACTGAATATCAATTTTTCTCACCAGAATCAAACATCCGAACATAGGCATATTCAATCAGGGCCTAAATCACGCAGCTTATATAAATGGGATTAACTTAAGCAGAAAGCTGAAAGCTTTTGAAAATTAAAAAACAGGTTATGAAGAATCCATGCTACGTTGAATAAACTATCAAGTGAAGATTCAAAAAACTGATAAGAAAAAGGATAAAGTACCAAATTGGAGGGTGAAGCGAGAGTGTTAGTCTTGAGAGCATCGGAGACGGAGGCAACGATGGAGCGAGGGTTGGAAAGCTTAATTGGAGAAATGGAGTGAAATTTGCGAGTGGATCCGAAGAAAGGTGTGAATGTGGGAGAAGGGAGAATAGGGTTGGCATTGGATCTGAGAGGGAGAGAAAGATTGGGTGTTGTGGAGAACACAGACATTGTTAATTGGAATGAGAAAGAGAAGAAGAACAAGAGGTTATTTAGAGTGAAGCGAGAAAATGGGCGGAGGGAACAAGAAAAAGGTGGAAATCACCGTCAAGTGCATTGGCAATGTCTCATTTCATTTTCACTCTTCTAAGTTCACCTATGTAACTATATTTTCATGTCTATGTTCACTTAACAAATTAAATAGATGGACTCTACCAATACTCAACTAACTTTGCCTACAAACACCACCTATCCCACCAATTCTATTTCTTCACTCTAAAAACTTGATTGTCTATTAAGAGGGACTGCAAAGATCTATCATGTGACTCCAAATATAAGATAGATAATATTTATATTTTTTAAAATTGATTAATAAAAAAATGTTGATTAAAATTTTTTTTTATGTTAAAAGAGATGGATAGACAAAAATGAAACATTAGAAAAGATAAATAACAAAAATAAAAGATAAATGATAAAAAGATTACCTCAATGATTTATTCTACTTCGACCTAAATTATTTTATTAGAATATTAATAGTAATTCATATTTTATTTAGTTGTACTATTTTCTTAGCCCCTAAGTTTGTTAGAGGGTATTTTAGTATTTTATCTTATTCTAGTAACCCTAGTTTTAGCTTATAAATAGGGTGACAATCATTGTAACTTTTAATCCTGTTTTTCTGCCGTCATTCTTAATAGAATATTTCTACCTTTCATCATTTATTCTACCTTTGCACCAACAATTGGTATCTAGAGCTCCGGTTCAGATTCATTGGGAAACACGGGAAACACGAGTGAACGTGAGGTCTTGTGTGTTTGATTTTGATTCTTAGATTCGTGTTGAATCTTGAACAAAATCTGATCAGAATTTTATTCTGTGGGTTGGGAAACACTGTGTGAGAAATCTGAGTGTATTGTGCAAGGTAGAAGATGAACGGAAACGACAACATGAACACCAAACTTCCAGTATTTGATGGTAAAAACTGGAATCGTTGGATGATCCAAATGCGTGTACTATTTGGTGCTCAAGATGTTCTAGATCTTGTCACTGATGGTTATGTTCCAGTAGCAGCAGATGCAACGGATGAACAGAAAAACGCGCAGAAGGAAGTAAGGAAGAAGGATCAGAAAGCATTATTCTTTATTCATCAATGTGTGGATGTAAATGTGTTTGAGAAGATTGCAGATTCAATAACAGCAAAGGCTGCGTGGGACACACTGGTGAGATGTTATGGTGGTGACGCATCAGTGAAGAAGGTGAAGCTTCACTCTTTGAGAAAGCAATATGAGAATCTCAACATGAAGAATAATGAGAAAGTCTCTGAATACATCTCCAGAATGATTCTGATCACTAATGAGATGAAGGCGTGTGGAGAAACTCTTTCAGAAGAAACAATAATGGAGAAAGTATTGAGATCCCTTACTCCTCAATTTGATTACATTGTGGTAGCAATAGAATATTCCAAAGATCTGAGCACCATGAGAATTGAAGAGCTGCAGAGCAGTCTAGAAGCGCAAGAGTTGCGTTTGACTGAGAGAACTTCTGAAAAGGAAGTAGAGCAGCAGGCTCTGAAAGCAACTTCTGATAGGAGGTATCAGAAGCAGTCAGAAGCCAGGAGAAGATCTGATGGTGGTCAGAAGTCAGAAAGCTCAACCTCTGATAGACAAAAGAATGCTCAGAAGGGAAAAGAGAAGTATGACAAGAAGAAGATCCAATGTTACTGTTGTAAGAAGTTTGGTCACTTTGCTAGAGATTGTTGGTCAAACAAGGAGAGAAAATCAGAAGAAGCAAATATAGCCAGAAGTTCTGATGACGAATCTGTGCTATTGATGGCTTCTGAATCTGATAATATGGATCTGATAGACTGGTGGTATATGGACACTGGCTGTTCAAATCATCTTACTGGAAACAAGAAATGACTGGTTGACTTTGACTTTGAAAAGAGAACAAAGATCAGATGTGTTGATGACAAATATCTTAATGCAGAAGGTATGGGAAATGTCAGAGTGATTCTGAACAATGGGAAAACAGCATTGATTCAGAACGTGTGGTATGTACCTGGCATCAGAAGCAATCTGATGAGTGTGGGACAATTAATTGAGAAAGGTTTTTCAGTTATCATGAAGGATAATCTTCTGAAGATGTATGACTGCAATCAGAAGTTGATTATGGAGTCAGAACAGGGAAGGAATAGAACATTCAAGGTGAATGTCAGAACTGCAGACTCAGAATGTCTTAGTGCAACATGTGCTGAGAAGGAGAGTGAGTTGTGGCACAGAAGATTTGGTCATTTGAATTTGAGAAGCATAAAACATCTGAATTCAAAGAAGCTGGTACATGGAATTCCTGCAATTAAGAAGCCTGAGAAGTCATGCAAAGTTTGCATGGAAGGAAAACAACCACGTTTGCCATTTGCGTCAGAAGTTGCTCCAAGAGCAAAACATGCCTTGGGAGTTGTACATTCTGATGTGTGTGGTCCATTTCCAGTAGCATCAATTGGAGGGAATAAGTACTTTGTGTTGTTTGTTGATGAATTCACAAGAATGACATGGGTATCCCTTATTAAATTTAAACATGAGGTGTTTGATGAATTCAAGAAGTTCAGAATGAAGGCTGAGAATCAGAGTGGTCAGAAGTTGAAGATTCTTAGAACTGATGGTGGAGGTGAGTATAACTCCAAAGAGTTCCAGAAGTTCTGTGAGGAGAATGGAATTGAGCATGAGGTTACTGCTCCTTATACCCCTCAACACAATGGTCTTGCTGAAAGAAGAAACCGTACTTTGCTTGATATGGTGAGAAGCATGCTAAAGGAGAAGAAGCTTCCTCAGAAGCTCTGGGGAGAAGCTGTTGCCACTGCAACGTATGTACTCAACAGATGTCCTACGAAGAAGTTGAAGGAAATAGTTCCTATGCAGAAGTGGACTGGAGACAAGCAAAGTGTTAGTCATCTGAAGGTGTTTGGTTCTGTTTGCTATAAACATGTTCCAGAAGCCATAAGACAGAAGCTGGATGATAGAAGCAAAGTGATGATTCTGATAGGGTACCACAGTACAGGTGCATACAAGCTCTATTGTCCAGAAACCAATAAAATTGAATTCAGCAGAGATGTGATTGTGAAGGAATCAGAAGTTTGGAATTGGGATAAGTCTCAATCTGATTCTGATGTTAGAACTTCTGAAGAAAGGTCAGAGTTAAGAACTTCTGAAGTTGAAGTAAACTCTGAAGTTGATTCTGACTCTGATAGTGATTCTGACTCTGGAGAAGACTCAGAAGATGAAGGTGACTCTGATGATCCAGACTCTGATGGTAATCCAGATTCTGGTGGAAATTTAGACTCTGAAGATGGCCAAGACTCTGAAAATATGCCAGATCTTGAAGATGGTCAAAGCTCTAGAGGAAGTCAACCATCTGAAGCTGGAAACTCTGAAGCTCAAGACTCTGAACAAGTTCAGAGACCATGAAGAATCAGAAGCGTTCCCAGAAGATTTGCAGAATTTGACATGCTGCAAGACACTGAAGTAGACTTTGAAGGAGAAGTTATTCAGTGTGCCATGTTAGTAGACTCTGAACCCATAAGTACAGAAGAGGCTCTTAAGCAGAAGCTCTGGCTGAAGGCCATGAAAGAAGAACTTGATGCTATAGAGAGAAACAAGACTTGGAAGCTGACAGAACTTCCAAAAGACAAGAAAGCCATCAGCGTCAGATGGGTTTTCAAGCAGAAGTTAAAGCCAGATGACTCAATTGGCAAACATAAAGCAAGGTTGGTAGCCAGAGGATTTCTATAAAAACCTGGGCTGGATTACTCTGAAGTGTTTGCACCTGTAGCAAGACATGAAACAATCAGAATGGTGATTGCAATAGCTGCTAACAGGAATTGGCCTCTGATGCATTTAGATGTAAAATCTGCATTTCTGAACGGTCCATTAGAAGAAGAAGTTTACGTGTCACAACCTCCTGGATTTGTGAAAAAGAATCAGGAAGGGATGGTGTACAGATTATACAAAGCTCTATATGGATTGAAACAAGCGTCCAGAGCTTGGAATCAGAAGATTGATTCATTTTTCAAGAAGCAAGGCTTTCAGAAATGTGAGATGGAGTACGGTGTCTATGTTCAGCATACTTCTGAAGGCAATATGACTCTGGTATGTTTATATGTTGATGATATACTGCTGACTGGAAGTTCTGAACAGGAGATAGCCAAGTTCAAAAAGGTTCTAATGAATGAATTTGAAATGACTGATCTAGGCAAAATGACATACTTTCTAGGGATGGAGTTCAGATATTCTGAGAAAGGTATCATTTTGCATCAGCTCAAGTATGAATTAGAACTTCTGAAGAGATTTGATCTGAAGAATTGTAAGATGGTTGTCACACCTTCTGATACAAATCAGAAACTAGATTCAGACTCTAAAGGAAAGGATGTGGATGCTACAACCTTCAAACAGTTGGTTGGTTCTCTGAGGTATCTGTGCAATACCAGACCTGATATTTGCTACTCAGTTGGGATGGTTAGTAGGTTCATGAGTAAACCTAAGTGGTCCCATTACCAAGCTGCTGTCAGGATTCTGAGGTATATCAAAGGAACTCTGAAGTATGGAGTGTTATTTCCCTCTGGAGGAAATAATGAGTCAGAACTTCTGAGTTATTTAGACTCTGATTGGTGTGGAGACAGAGTTGACAGAAGAAGTACATCTGGGTACTTGTTCAAATTTCTGGGAGGTTCCATTTCTTGGTGTTCCAAGAAGCAATCTGTTGTGGCATTGTCAACCTGTGAAGCTGAATACATTGCAGGTGCTGTTACTGCATGCCAAGCTGTGTGGATTCTGAATCTGTTGCAGGATCTGAAGATTAAAGTAGACAAACCTCTGAAGTTGATGATTGACAACAAGTCTGCAATCAATCTTTCCAGAAACCCAGTGTTGCATGGGAGAAGCAAGCATATTGAGACCAAGTATCATTTTCTGAGACATCAAGTTCAGAGTAGAGTGTTAGAAGTTGTACACTGCAGCACT